CGATTAAACATTTTAATTAGATTAATCACACCTTAAAAATGAATGAATCAGATTAATCACCATTCGAACTATGTCCAAAATATGCCATTTCTTTATGTATGTTGTTGTGGGAATGGAAAGATAAATGAAAGAAGGCGGATATATCCATTTAACATACAAGTATGTTTATTATAACATTGTTCTGTGTGTCAAAATGAAAGACAGCCCACACACCTATCAATCATCAAACCGTGGGGTCTTATTTCATTACGTGTTGATTTCTATCAACACGTAATGTTGTATCGATGTATATAGAGATGTACTACAGCAAAAGTATTCTCCGTCAGGACTTCCTGCAACAACACCACGCCGTTATCTTGATTCTGATTGGCCAGAAGACATTATCAAAGATGTTCTATTGAGAAGACGATCACTACGTGACAAAAGTTTTCAAAACCGTTTCTAGTCTTCGTTATTTCCAGACAAGTGGCTACTGAAATCAATCTTACTAACTGCTGTCTGTGTGATTTACTCCGCGAGTGGGCAGACTTTATTTTGCTTACTTTAACTTCATTGTTCATGGTGGGGCTAAGCCATTTCTTGGTATGGGTGTAGCCTACCCCAGCCAAGCCATACCCTGGCGCTGCCACTGGTGGGATGTATGGGGTGGGCCATTCTGCACATGCGTTAAATGCGTTAAATATTTTAATTGTAATTCAAAAAATGAATTACCGCCGTTAACGCGATAACTTTGACAGCATTCATCATAACTAATCCAACGGTGGTCCTACGGGTGGATAAGGGGTATTATGCCTGGAACCCCCTCCTAAAATAATGCTCTAACCCTTTTACAAAGACATTCCAATAATAATAATAGTGTGATTTCTTCCCGCTGTGACAGATGCCGTCCCTCAGCCTGACCTCAGCAGATCCTCCTCAGTTCCTGAAGAGTTGTCTGATGAAGATCCTCCGACTGTAACTCCCACCCCGGTGCACGGCAGCCCTCAGAGATCCCATCACGAGCCGGAGGTGAAAGTGAGCTCAACGTTTGATGATCAACCGTCTGAGCGTCTCCTCGTCTCCAAAGAGAAGCTTTCTGCATCTGTGACCCTAGAGGAAGACAAAGAGTTAGAGACGAGGGAAGCGTCTGAAGCTGAGAAATCGAACGTCATCTCCTCTAATAATAATTCAGCTGCAGAGGAACTCAATCTAAACGATAGATCCAGTGACTCCTTCTCCATTAAAGACGTGGAAGGCTCGTCTCCCAGAGCAGACGCTTATCACGATGACTTTGAGTCTTCAGTGGATTCTTCTCCTAGGGGTGATCATCACCACTCCAAACCTGCTTCTCAGATCTCCAGAAAGGACGAGGAGGAAGTGGAGGAGGAAGTATCCGAAGATCTGAGTCACCGTTCGGGGACGAGTGGAGCGAGCCGTCATTCTGCGAGACTGCTGGACTTTCAGAGCAACGCAGAAGAATCCAAACTTCTAAACTCCGCCCACTCGCCTCCCTCCCCCGTTAGAGATGAAATGCTTAGCTTTAACATCGGGGATCGAGTTCTGGTCGGCGGCGTTCAGCCGGGAACGCTGAGGTTCAAAGGGCCAACCAGCTTTGCTAACGGTTATTGGGCCGGCGTGGAGTTAGATAAATCCGAAGGGAGCAACAACGGCACCTACGACGACGTGGTTTACTTCGAATGCGACAAAAGCCACGGCATCTTCGCTCCTCCGGACAAAATCTCACACCTGCCGGACAAGTTTGAGATCTACGCCGACACCACGGAGGACGAGGACTCCTTCTGTGACCCTCTGTCGGAGAAAGGAGATAAAGAAACAAATAAGGGGGGGCAGGAATCGGAAAAGGGGGATGAAAATGAACCGACATCTAATGATTTCAATAACTCCGGAGATAAAAGAGTTACGGACGTGTCGAACAATAATGTCAAAGAGTCCAAGCATCCCATTCCTAACGGCACGGTCATTATGCTGCATTTTGAAGATGCACCCACCACCCTCCTCATCTCTGATATCGACCTGGGGAAGCAGAACCAGAAGAAGATCGCCCCCCGTGTGGAGAGAGAGGAGATCGCCCCCCGTGTGGAGAGAGAGGAGGTCGACTCACGTGTGGAGAGAGAGGAGATCGACTCACGTGTGGAGAGAGAGGAGATCGACTCACGTGTGGAGAGAGAGGAGATCGCCCCCCGTGTGGAGAGAGAGGAGATCGACTCACGTGTGGAGAGAAAGGAGATCGCCCCCCTGTGGAGAGAAAGGAGATCGCCCCCCGTGTGGAGAGAGAGGAGATCGCCCCCCGTGTTGAGAGAGAGGAGATCGCCCCCCGCGTGGAAAGAGAGGAGATCGCCCCCCGTGAGGTGAAAGTGTCTGAGGAGGGGAAACAGAAAGCGTTACTGGACTCGGTCGCAGACCAGCTCCTCAACAACTTCATGACGGACACGGTGGCGCAGTTTGCTGAAATGAAAAGGGCTAAAGAGCAAAAGATAGACGCCGCCAATCAGATGAACGGAGAGGAAGGTGTTGATGATGATGATGATGAAGAGGAGGAGTGGTTCCCATCCGTTCAACAGAAGGACGGCCTGCCCTTCTTCCTGCCTTCAGAGAAAGAGGAGATGACGTCTCCAGAGCTGTGTAACCAACCTGTGAGTGTGAACATCTGATTCTGCACTTACATCCTCATTAAATATACCGGTACACATATTGTACCATTTATTTATTTTACTAATAAGACGCAGAAACCCCTCATGCGTCATTCAGATTACTTTAGTGTCCACTATATTTACTGAAAAGGCTCATACACCGCTAACAATACAGTTCACACACAAAACACAAAACACATGAGTCTTAAAGTCTTAAAGTGACTGTAGTAAAGTTATATTCAGTACTCAGATACTCAGTTATAGTCAAATACAACATGCACTGTGTGTGTGTGTGTGTGTGTGTGTGTGTGTGTGTGTGTGTGTGTGTGTGTGTGTGTGTGTGTGTGTGTGTGTGTGTGTGTGTGTGTGTGTGTGTGAG